CTGATAACAAAACCGATAAAATTGGTTTCCGTGACACCCAAAACCGATACAATTTCTGTTTCGAACGTCAAACCAATAATATCTGAATTCATGACACCTACTACATTTTTTTATCGGTTTCAATTCCGATTCCGACAACTATCAGATTCTACAACACCCCTGACTATCTTGTTTTTATTTCCAACATCAAAATTTTCTCTACACAAAGTATTATCTCACTAACCGATTGCCCGACAGCTGATTTGGATACAAGTGTTTTTCAAGTTAAAAGCTAAGGTCTTAAAGGAATTGAATAATATTGGATCTCTTTGATTTTCATCAATAATAAGCATAATAAAACTTTTCTACTCGAGGAATGATAAGAGTAGAAAAGTTGAAATGTTTAAGAAATATTAATTAAAAGCCGCTTAATGACGCGTACTACATTAGTAACTGACATCGTTGAGTTTTCAGGGATTGTAAAAAAGAAAAAATACTTTAGAATCATATTTAAATACGCCTATAAACTAGAAAAACTTAAGTTGGGTGGTTTGGCACTAAAGTATACATCAGCTCTCATAAAAGTGGAAATTTTTTATTATATAATATGTTAGTGCTTCAATTTGAAAAATGAGCGCTAACTAGGGTAGTTGGAATCACACGAAAAAATTTTATTTACCCAGGTTTGTGTATAAATCATATAGAATTTGTACTTATTTCCTCCAGAATCTAATGCTACGTAAAATATAATAATAATTTATTATTCTCTACATTTTGCTCCTTTTTATATACCCGTCTCAGATGCCTCATGCGTTTTACATAATGGAATTGGTGATTAACTTCTTAAACTATACTTCCATACCCGCCCTCATAAACCGTATATTTCACCTATTCATTGAATTAAATATATCTACATTATTTCGCTCATATATCTATTTAACTAAAGATAAAATATCTACAGGTATGACCAGTTTTATTGTGGTTATCATGTGGTACACTGAGGCACCTGAAACGGGATATGTTTTAATTTCGCACTTTCACTCTTGATGTTTATTTGGCCTTGTTGTGTAAGAGACCTATGGAGATATTGAAAATTTAATGTTTGCTAATGTCAGTTCCCAATTATAGTTGTGTTAGGAGAATTGCTACAGTAATAGCGGTGATAATCAGAAGGTCATTAAAAGTGGTCTCGCTACCCTTACTTCGAGCATATTATTTGTCTTCGACATGGTCTTTTAAAATGGAAGTACACATATAGAGGGGGTTATGTAGAAAGTGCTTGGCATCCGTGAATTGTTTTACCGTTTAAAGTGGTAAGTTTGTTGAAAGCGTGGGGGCCTTTGAAAATTATCCTTTTTTCTCATCGAATGAGGATTTATCATTTGGCTGTAGTATATTATAAGGGTTGGACAGGGGTAAGTGGGATGATTTTCTTGTGTCTTTATCAGTGTGAGAAATATTGTGAGCGGTTTTATTCGGGATATCGTTTTGAAGTTACCGGGAGTTCTTAGAATAGATTCTTGAACATAATGGTTGTTGTTGATTTTAACATAGTGACCTCGGTTCGCTCTCGCTGATCTATTTTCTGTCATTCTAATTATGAGTGGTTCTGTTAGATTTTTTGCCATTATATGGTTGAGATGTTTCAGGTATGATTTTTGTGGTTATATCTGAGTTGGTTTTCTAATTGGATCTGAGAAAAATTTGATTGTTTTTGAAAATTGACATGTTGAATTGATAAGAAATAGTTTTAAAATTGATTGGTGTTTGAGAGTAGTGTAGGAATCGGATATATATGAAGAGTATAATGTAGATTAAAAAAATATGTTGGGTTTATAATAATTACTTGGTTGTTGGATGTGATTAATTTATAAATATTTACATATTTAATTTGATAAATGAGTACAAAAAAGAAGTGGTTGAAATTTGTATTTTAGAATGTGGTTTTTTACAGATGAGAGGAGAGAAAGATTGTATCTTGTAATAGTGTTGATTTGAAATCTTGTTTCTTCTTTTGCTTTCCACCAAATCTCCCCCTTGTCTGCCCGCGGTCTTTGCCTCTGCCCCTCTCTCGCTCCTCTCCTCGCGTGTCTCCTTTTCATCTTTCTCCTTCCAGTAAAAACCTTCTTTGTACACATGCAGTGTTCTCTCATGTGGTTATTTATTATTAATGGGAGGCCCGTCTCCGCGTGCTTAATCACTGGCGGTTACATCAGTTTTGTATTTGGGATAGTTGCGCGTGGTCGTTGTGTCGTTGTTTCGATAATTTATTTCTCACAGGGGAAAACTCTTCTTGTAAGTGGGTAGGAGGATTGAGTTGACTACACGGCTCGCCACTTTTTAGGAAGTGATGTTGTATTTTTAATTAAGACATGATTAGTGTAAATATAATAGGTTGGATGTGTGGTAGACTGCAATGTTTAGAATATTGTGGTCTGTAATAATATTAAAATTGTGGTGAGTAATTCAGCAGTAAACACGGGGCATGCTGGGTGATGTTGTCCTCATATAGAATTAATTTTATGTAGGAATTACGTAAGAGCTGTACTACTCACAAAGCGGTTTGTATAGTTTTAGATTTGGATGAATGTTGTAGCGAATACTCCTTTTGTAACTGGGACGTGCTCTTTCATTAGTCGCTTTGTAAGAGTGTCGTTGAAGAGTCCGTGTTTTCTCGCACCATATTCACTTTCTCAGAGTTTACTTAGTGTGACCAGATAGGCTGAATTTTTACTAGTGCGCAGTAAGAAATTGTTACATCAAATGCGTTGGAAAAAAATGAAGGATAGTAAATTTTTTTTTTTAAGTGTGGCCGCCTCTGTGAGTGAGGCTATAGAGTAATTTTCGAGTATTGATAGAGTAAATTCAAGACATGCATGGCGATACCACGCGTTTGCTGCATAAATCTTGTGTAAAGTTATTATTCTTCGACTAACGTGACTTTCTTTAAGAGAAACATGGAAATTGAATTTTTAATGAGTTAAATGTAGAATAATTCACATCATCGTACCGAGGAAGTCTACTGACAGCGTATAGCGCTAGGCTTTTGCGTGAAGTGGAACATTTCTTCAAGTGTAAGAGTCTTGCTGTCCGGATGTTTTAATTTCCGATATAAGTTGATAAAGAAATAATTGATAGTAAGTAAGTTGTAAGTTGGGGAATTAATTGTATGGGATTGAAAATAAGGTTATGGTACTATTTAAAGGGTTCATTGTATAAAGTGTTTAATTGGACGATAATAGGGTCGAATTTGAGTAAAATTTTATGTAAGTGTTGTGGATGTATTTTTTAGAAGTAAATGTTGGAATAGAAATATGTGATGTGTAGGTTGTAGGTTGGGGGGAAATTAATTGTTATGTGAATGAAATAGTTATGGAATTTTTTTAAAGGGTTATGTAAATTAAGATTATAGGAATTTATTTTTTTAATTAAGAGGGTAAATTTATGAGGGATTTAGAAGGTTAATTTTATGAGTGATTGAGGTAGAATAATGGAAAGTTTAGTTTAAATTTTGATAGCAATATTGAAATTTTGTATATTAATGATTGAAATTGTAATATTTGATGGTAGATGTATAATCATAAATTTTGATATATTTAGGGTTTAAAGTGAATTGAAAATATGGTGTGTAAATATGTGTGATGGTGATGTCTAGTGAATATAGTATTTATAGAAGTTAAATGAAGAATATCGGATATTGGAGAATAATTTAGAAAGTAGATATTGGTATATTGTTTAAATAAAAGTAGATGTGTGAAAGTTGAAAAGGAGAATTTTTGGATGGTAAAAAAATAATTTAAGAATATTTGAGAGATTAAATTTTGTTGAAGTAATGAGATTTATTGTTTTTTTAGAATTAATGCTAGTTGAATAATAAATTATTATTATTAAAATTTAAAAATTGTTAGAATATGTTACTAATATTTATTTATTTATTTAAAAAATTGCATTGAATTTTATTTATATTTTTTTCTAATGAAATTGAAAATATGTTTTTAATTGAATTTATAATTTATATATATCTTATAAAAAATTTTAATTATGAATATATTATATATATTAAAAAATATATCCGTTTCGCTTTTTTTAAATAATTTTTTTATTTATCTCAAAATAAAACACAAATGTTTTATAATTTATTCACTTTAATTTGTTTAGTTTATTAAAAAAAATATGTTTATCTTATTATTAATTTAAAAACATTATCATAAGTGCCTTTTTAATTTTTTAAACAAAACATATTTTTAAAATGAAATGAAAATCAAAGCACCAAAAAAATTATATAAGTTAACTAATTTAATTTATTTAAATATGTTTAATATAATATTTAATTCAATATAAAAAACCATATAATTCACACCGTTTTCCATATATATTTTTAATTTTAACTTGAAAATTGTATGAAGAAAATTTTTTTTTATTTAATATTATAATATAAAGTTATTTTTAAGAATATTAAATTATCTAAACATATTAATTTTATTATTATAATATATATATTCTGCTTATTTATCTTCCAAAAAAGTTTACATAAAATAAAAAAAAATTTAAAATTAAATTCGGATTCAAACTTTCTAACTGCATTCCTGTATATTTTATGTAATTTTCAATCAGAAACCGTCCGGAAAACGTGGTTATGTTTTAGAAATTATTTAGAAAAAGCAATTCTTCTTAAATATATTTAAGTTTTGGCTTTGAGCTTTGAAAAATTCAACTTCTTTTGTATTTATACATAAATTCTAATATATGAATTAACATATATATATATAATAAATATAGTTTTTAAAATTCCCAGCAGGTGGCAGCATCAAGACATTTTTTATTTTAATAGTTGCTTAAAAGGTACTCCAACTTTATATTGTTTCCGTCGTTTGGATCATACTCATATAGATAATTTATAGTCAACCTAAGCACAAATTCAGATAATTTGAATTCATACTACAACTATACTGCTCGGTTATTACTTTTCAAATATATTTATTTTAAAGTAATAAAGTTTTCTAACCTTTTTTGTTTTTTTTTCACACGTTCATACTTACATATGTCACATTTGACATGAGAACTCGCTCATTTAGACTAGATGCATTTAACAACACGATTCTTCCCCAGTGATCCTGATAAACAAATTCCTCGCCTGCGTTGATTAACAGAAATGGTAGAGAAAATATTAGAAAATAAGAATTATTTTGAAAAAATAGTAGGCAAATATGTTTTAAAGAATATATATGTATGTGCTGTCATGGCATTTAAATAAGTAAAAAATGCTTAATTTTTCGAATTTAATTTAAAGAGTATAACACTGAAAGTTTTTATAATATAACACAGGAAAAAATAATCAATACTTCCAAGATAACCTTAAATATTATTTTACAACACTTTTAATACCTTGTACAAAACATGAAGAGTAAGAGGCTTCAAAAGTTGTACATATTTAGAAAATATAAGCGAAAATCGATTTAAAATCTTACAAAGCAGAAGTTAGAAAAACAATCAAAACTGGCACAGTTCATCGGGTTTCGAAAAAATCATACGAAGTTTGAGTCTACATTTATCTCAAAACATAGCAGAATCAATATTATTAAGTGGTAGAAGTTATTCGCGTTTTCGAATAATTTAAAATTTTTTATATACTTCAAAAAAAAGAAAAACGTTTTTAAAAATTTTTTGTTGATTAATAAAAGACACCTCATTTTGCAAATGACTTTAAAATATCAATTAGCAAAAAGAATTAGGAATTAGGCAAGTAAAAAAGATAAATATTCAGTTTAGGCAGTTAGAACCTCACTGATTTCAAAACTGACCTTAAATTTTCTTATATTTTCAAAACTTGATGTGGAAAAAAACTATGCAAAGTTTTGAAAATAATAAATAAATATTCTCATAAATAACTTTCTGAAGAAATAAGATAATGAAAAAGACTCTAAAATAGATTCAGTCAAATAAAACACAAATGTGCAATTGAAGCTCTCAATAATTAAAAAATATTCCTTAAAAAAAGTTTTGCGAAAATTATTTAAAACAAAAAATGTTGAAAAATAATTTAAAAAAAAACAAAAAATGCTGAAAAATAATTTTAAAAAATTTTGCAATAAAGTCTCAGAATTTCGAAAAAAGGCTCAAATTTAGATTTTAAGTACTTAAAGGAATGGGAAAACATTTTGAAATTCGGAAATAACCTTAAAAGTTCTTTTTAAAAACGAACGTCTGAAATGAAAATACGAAAATATAAGCTATAGATCGGATCACAATGTTAACCGACTTTGAGTTAGTCCATATTTACGAAATTTATAAAACATTTATTTTACGTTCAACTTAAAAGTTTTCTGATACATTTTTTTGATGCTGCGCCGTTTGTAAATTATTTAAGCTAACTAAAAATGTATGAATATCTTTTAACATAAATATCGAATATTTTCCAATTATGTTCAATATTTCACGAGCTTAAAATCGCCCGCATTAATCAATCAACTTGAAACGGGCTGTTATTCTTACACACTCACCATTTATCCATGTACCGTTGGCACGCTGCGGCATGAAGAGTCCATCCACGATGTCTTGCAGTTTGATGCGTTGCCCCTTGACGCTCGGCCCCTCATCGGGTGGTGTGAGAAGTACCTTTTTTGATAAATGCAGAAATTTTATATGTTGTTTTCTATAAAGAAAACCAGACAAAGAGAGAGAAAAAAGCACAAAAAATGGGGGGGACACACGACCACCACGAGACACAATAAAAAATAAAAAAAATCGGAAGAATGGGAAAAATATATGACATAAAATTTACACAAAAATTTGTGGGATGACACAGCAATTGCAGAAAAAGAAAAGACATACGCTATATACATATGTATATAAAGAATGCATGAGGCACAGTGAATATATACACATACACATAATGCTATATGGTGTGCAAAATAAGAAGCTGTGGATACGAAAAAATTAGTTTGCAAAAACGGAAGAAAATAAGGTTTAATAGCCAAAATATGCAACAATTAAAAAGCCGGTAAAATATTATATAATAAATTACTTGAAATGGTGGCAAATGACATGCTTGTTTGAAGTTGACACACATAGACAGGTAAAAGAATAAAATCTGAAGTATTAGGGTAGCTCAAAAATTGTATTTTAATATTTTATAAATTTCATTTCTGGTCTCAAAAATAAAAGAGTTTTGTTAAAAATTACCTTGAAAAAAAATAATTTTTAATATATGCGAATTACTTCATTATATTAGGGTATATCATTTTAACAATTTTTTCCTTGATTTTTTGAATTTTGGCTTTAAACACGAAAAAAAATTCTAGTTATACACCACACTAAAGAACGAATAATTTTAAATATATACGTTAGTATTATATTTAAATTTAAATTATTTTTGAGATTTTTTTTACTTGTATATAGATATTTAAATCGTTTGGGTAAACATATTTTTTTTAATATTTCGATTTTTTTAACGATTTTATATACTGATACAACGATCAATATTTTATAATATTCATGTCCTAATAAAGGTCAATACGCCCTAATGAAAACACTTTTTTTTTAAAAGCGTTATAATTTGGCAAAACAAGTTCAAGCAAATATTTACACAAAGCATATTTGCAAAAATTGAAATATCATAATAGAAATTTAGCAAAAAAAAACTATATATAAAAAAATATTATAATTTAGCGAAAAAAAATAATTTTTAAAAAGTGATGATTAATGAATAATGCGCGATATAGTTTTTATATTTTTTACATGTCTCCGTGGGTTTTACAACACATTTCTTTATATATTACAACTATTTCACATACACTCATACATATAAAGTTAATTTTCACATGCAAAATTTATTTTTTACAAAAAATTTACAGTATACACAAATTTCTTTTCAGTTAGCGACTATTATATAGTGCATTGCAATCTCACTCACCACAGAGGTAACAATTAGCGCCAATACAATTATTATAACCAATAGAGCAATGAAAATGCCACGCCAATTCCGCTGATTTGGATTGCTGGAGACCAACTGCAAGCAAAAAAGAAACAGTGTTAAAGTGTTTAATTAAATAGTGCAATATGTTTGGATAAATCTTGAGGAAGTTTCAAAGTGCTTATGCTTTAATGGTAAGTCCTATTATTGATATTAATATATTAAAATATCTCACGTGTATCTATTTCTAATTTTCTTTTGAATATTATTTGCCAAAACAACAAAGAAATATAGAATAGCATATGAATTATATTTCATCACCACTATCTGTTTTACAATTTCATAAAATTTATATTGTCTGATATATAAGCGTCTATCGTTAACCGTTTCACAAGTTCAGATTAGCCCACGAATCACTGGTCTTTCACACCATATCATTTCAAAAACCGTTAAAGTTATTACTCTTCTTTGGTTAGCATATATGTATGTAGGTCGCAAATAAATTTGGTTTTCTATTTTACTATCCAAATAGTAAATAAATGCAATTAGCAATAAGTTTATTAAAAAATTAGTTGAACTATCGTTTATGTTTATAATATATTTTCATATTTGTTTTCTTTAACTCTTTGCTGACCTTTTCAAAGACATAGACTTATACTTATTAGACTATAGAGTATTGTGATTAAAAAAAGGAAGTGGTAGATAAATTCTTATCTCTTTTTGCAGTAATTTTCATCCGTTTTTTCATGTTTATTTTGTTTTATTGAAATTTTTGTTTAACTGTCTCAATTTCGACTTTAAAGTTGTCCTTGCTTTTTCTTGATAACATAAATTTGCCGATAAATATCAACTAGAAAAGCTTGAAGTATTTCCAAAATGGCACACATTTTGTAATATTTTTATTCTTTTTCCTCCCGAACGAATTAAATATACTTAAGAGTACTTATTTGGTAGACTTTTCGAAAGACGTGTATCTAATTTTTTTTTCGAATATATATAAATATATGTGAGAGATATGATAAACAAGTTCGCCACAATAACAAATACCGTCTGATCACATTTGACTCAAACTTACACTAAAAACTATAAATTCATATATTTTGATATAAATCTTTATCAGTGCCTTTAAACGGGTAGTTTTGAGCCAATACAAGCATGCCAACGCTTGATCCAATTTTTCATACACTTGTCATACGCCTCGGTTGGGATGGCCTTCTGCGAATTTAGGTTTCTTTAGTTTCGACGTTATATTCTTAAACCGCGTCTCATCACCAGTAATGGTGCGTTTGATGAATGTAGGGTACACAGCTACTTTGTCAAGCATCTAATTTGCGAACTCTACTCGACGTCGTTTTTACAAAAGATCCAAGTCTTTAGGTACGAGTCTAGCATTGACGCGCTTCATACCCAAAACATTAACCAAATGTATTGAGTTGATCCATAAGAAGTGTTGAGATCCTCTGCTATCTGTCTGTTGCTAACACGACTAATTTCAGGCACTGATCTTTTTAATTTTTTCGATGTTGTCGTCACTCACAGAAGTGTATTCACGTTAGGAAAATTTTCGAGGACTTCACGACGTTCACTGAATGCTTTGAGCCCCTCAAATACTTGTGTTCAAGATAAAGTAGACTTTCCACTTCTTAAACGTTTTCAACGATTCCCAAACCGTGGTATCATTGTCCACAAAAATAGACGTAAAATGCGCTTCACACAAACATAACAAAACTAAGCAATGTGAAAATATTTATCGATTGTTTTTGCACGATGGATCAGTCCGAGTCGAATCTGATCAGATACCTCAAACTTAAACTATTATTCGAAATCGCCCTCTACAGCTCTCATTTCATGGATTAAAGACACATCTTCTAATAGGGGACGCCATAATTTAGAAACCACTCTTTTCTCAAACTGAGGTTATATCAATATACCGTTGGTCTATCGCCTGATTATTGATTAGTTAGACAGAACTTCAGCTCAATTGAAGCCACTGCCTAGTAAATTTTATTTATTTTTCCTTTTTTATATAGAATCATTAACTTTGATATTAATTCTTGAACAAACTCTCCTTACGTTTTTGTTAGATTACATGAAATTCGTCCTTTATTTAAAGCATTAACTGTTAGTTATGCTATTTGCTACCACGTCAATTAATACAAACTAAACCATTTCCTTCAAAAGAAATTAGAAAATAACGTAATTTTTGAAACTAATGAGCAGATTTCCAGCACACCATAAATAGAAAGCAATTTGAGTTGCCTTCGTCGAATTGATTTCAGGGCATTTCAGCAGCCAATTTTCCATGGACACCGGCGGCGAATAACTGAAAAATCAATAACAATTTGAAGTATGCGAACATTAAACTTTCACTCAGCCAAGCATTTATTTTATTTGCAAATATTTTCTCAACATTGGCACCCATTTTTTATTGCCGTTGTTTTGTTGTGCACATTATTATTCTCTAACTCTTCATTGTGCAACAAGAGGTTGCGCCGTGTGGCACATTTGTAATGTTTCATTCGCATACAAGATTACTTCTTTCACGTACATTTGTATGAAATTTTGTATATGGCTTTGTGTGTGTGCTTTTTTTTGGGTTTACCTTTTTTGAAGGTTTCCCATTTTCTCCTAATTCTTGCCAAGTTCTTGTACGCCGCTACCCCGTAGTGCGTTTTGTCGACTTTTTGTAGACCTGCTTTGTATGACCACATGTGTGTTTTTGTGTGTGTATGTGTGCATCTTCTGTTATTTATTTGCTTCACTTTGGCAACATTTGTGGTCATTATTTTGGCCACCATTATGCGACTGTTATTATAAGGCCTACTTGCTTGTAACCAGTAACAAAAATACAGCTGCAATAGCAGAAATATAACAACAACAACATCAACTATTATATAAACAACAACCGCGACGATAATAACAACAATATATATAGTATAGTGAGAGCAGCAATCAGCAAATGTGTCGGCAAATAATGAAAAGGTAGTCATTCATGTTGTTGACTACTAACAAAGGTGTGCACCTAAAAGCCCACCATAGTTTGGTTATTTTCTTGACTATAATATATTTCGATTTACTTTCTAACAATTATTACAAAAATTTTAAAAACGTTTTCGGGTATTTTTGATATATTTCTAAGGTGTATGATTTTCTAACATTTTTGGGTTTGTAAAATTCATTATTCAATTCGTTTTTTTGCAATCAAAATCAGACTGCAACCACGCGTACTCTCTAAACAATAAATTAATTAAATTCATACAAGGAAGATATCGGTGTAAGACTTTGTACAAATATTGCCCTTTATGTATTGTACCATTTAATTAAAAATGGTTGAAATCGGATTATGCCTATCTGCCAGACACCGAGTATGGAAAGCTCCGAGACTGTAACTGGCTTTTTGTCAAAAATATTGTTTCATTTGTACAATATGTTACTGAAAACAGAAATGTATCTTTTTGGGCTGGTGCTAATAGTAGTTCAGTACCTCCCCTAGCTTCCATTTACTTGAATTAATGTTTTTCTATCGTTTGGGTGACATTATATCGATCAACATGTGGGATATTTTAAAAAAGATACGCGGACAGATATTATATCTTGACCACTATGTGGCCTAACGTGGAAAGGAAATTGAAATAGTTCCAGACCTTGATGCAGCAGTTATATATTATAATATCATGATTTCAGGTCATTCCGGTTGCACAAACTCTGAAACAAGCCTTAGACACATACTTTCAAGTTATTCACTCCAGCCTACCAGCTCGACCCCGCTACTCAAAAACTTTACTTTGGCAGAAATAGCGCTTTTTATACCCCCAGTACCAGTTGATTCTTAAATTTCACGTTTCTTACTTATTATAGCGCCCAAAAGCAGACGTGCAAAAAAAAAGTAATTGAAAAAATCGCACTTCTATTAGTCTAGTGTCTGAAGGCCAACGAAAGTGAAAACAAGATTGAGCTTAAGTTAAATTATTTTCATCGAAAGCGTGTGTGGCTGTATATCTGTGCTTACGAAAGTGTCTCAGAAAACCCTTTCATGCATATTCACTGGTAGGTTCAAGCACAGGTGGCACAGCTGGTAAATATTTATATATCATTAGAGTTCTTTGCGCTCTCAGCGTCATATTATATTTCTATTTCAGTGCACAATTGACGCATTTAATAATAATATACAAAGCACCTTAAAGTATGTGTACTTAATTTAATTTCATATTTTATGAGCGCAACTTGAGAAAAGAAAAAGAACGGCTCTTGGATGAAAGAAGAAAGTTAGTGAAAAGTAGGGTAATTTTTGGAGAAATAATGATTTAATTTAAAAAATTGTGTTAAAATGGTATATAAGTTTTTTGAAAATACATAGTACTTTTGAGTTAAAGAAAAAACAAAAATGATTAATTAAATTGATATATTTGAATTATTTTTTTTTTAATAATTGATAAACTTTGATTATTTAATTTCTAAATTTTATATATATATTTTTTTAATTTCGTAATGTTTTTATTTCTATTAACTATTTAATTTTTTTTTGTATTTTATCATTTATTTTATTAGTTTATAAGTTTTAATAACTTTTCAACAAAATTTTAAAATTCTTTTACTAAATATTTTCTTTTGCGTTTGTGATATATTTTTTAATTTATATCAATTCATTTTATTTTTTTTTTATCAGTTCATAAGTTCTAATTAGCTTTCAATAAAGTTTTTTAACTTATTGAGTTTTTCTTTATATAATTAAATTTTTTTTCGCTCTTTCTGTTTATTTTATTAGTTTAATTAACACATTCTGATTATTCTTTTTTTATTAAATAATTATTTTTTATTACTTGGTAAATTTTTTTTATGCTGGAAAGCTGGCAACCACTGTATTTTATGATTATACCCATTACTGCAACAATGTTTTTAAGTTACATATCAACTTGAACTTTGTGAGAAAAAATTTAGAATTCATGTTTTAGTACTAATACTAATAAACTGTCGAAGTGATCGGAGTCGAGTTTCATTCCGGCTAAGCATATTAATTTGCTAGTTTTTTATTTAATTTTTTTATTTATTTCAAATTTTGTGATTTTTTAGAAATTTAATTAATGCAATTAATTTAA